ATTCCAGATTTGGTTACCGCACTGACGTGATGGGCCTTAGAAAATTTGTCTGCGAATTCTTGAGTTCACTAGAAAATGGTAGTAGTTGCCAAGGTGACTCTGAGGACGCAATGAATTTAAATTGTGAGACCTCACGTAGGTTGAAATAACAAGGTTTTCTGGTTAGCCGTACTTATTCTGCAGGATTTTCCTGTAAGCAAATGCCGTGAATCTGCCTTAAAACCGGCCGCTTGCCTCGTCTATCAACGCTCTGTAATTAGTGAAACTTTATCTCTCGCTGTAAGGTAGTGAGTATTACAGACTGCTTCATTAACGACATCTGTGGAGCGTCTGTAAACATCGAGTGCAGGTGGAACGCTTTAGTTCACAGTGAGCCGACGATCGTAAAAATTTAGCTACAAAATTTTGAAAGCCTCTTACGACAACTAAGCGCATGCAATGAACTTTTTACGAAGTTAATGCGGAGTGCGGAGAAGAATTCTGTAGCGCCGTGTAGTCAGAGGTCCTCATTCGCCCTGATGATGGAGGCAGCAAGGACTTCCGAAACGTCTGTGAACTTCTACCAGACTACACGGCGCTACAACTGACAAAAGACGGGCATCTTCGGACACACGGCCGTGAAAATCTCAAATCCTCCAATGGTACAGTCTGGAATAAAGTTTGAAGTAAAGTTCAGCGTTTGAGGAAATCTGTAATCACGTGATGCGTGTTTGAAATCTAATTGGATGCTGGCGACAGTTGTGGCTAGCATGGTGTGACTCATAGCAGGGGAATGCTAGCAGTGATTGATTTGACGTGTATAAATTACTAGGAGAAGATAAGTTATTTTTTTTTCCGAGTCCCGACTGCGTCCGTTCGCAGCAGAACGCAAAGTGGACGTGAATTTCGAGTAGCGAACGGCGCGAGATTGAACCTGACATCGCGGGCGCTGGGCACGGACGCCTTCCGCTCGACAGAACTTTCGATCGAGCGTTTGCGACGACTGAATCCTCGTTCCTTTGTTTGTTGCAGGTCTCAGGAGCTGAGTACGCGCTGCCCCACGTCGCGACGGAGCGGGAGGATGAACAGAGGGGGGTGGTGAAAAAAAAACGCGGGGGGGGTAGGAAATTGAAGTGTCTACTGACGCACTTTTACACTGTCCTGCTCACTTTGTGACTATAGGTGTAACCTCCGGTGCTCAAGGGAGTACCAGACGCGGCCGTGATGTTTCAAGGTCATTGCAGCGAAAAATGCGATCCGCTCTGATCCTTGCAGAAGGTCGGGCAAGGCCACTCCGACAATAGACACGTTTACGCCAATGATATCCTGGACGTTACCCGGAGCTTCGTGTGTGAATTCCAAGGTTTTTGACCGTAGATTTCTTTCTTTCTGTGACTTGTCATGTGAAATCTTGTAGAGTTGCCGGATCTCTGCTCCCTAATTGAAAATATCGACCGGACATTTTCTGGGAGCGATTCTCGCAGACTTCTTCGTGGTGGAATGCTGCGTGCATATCCCGAAAGGGGCGTCTCTGACTTCGTCTTGGTTGGGAAATACGTGTGTCGGCTGTTTCTGACGGCGACCTCTGTTCCGCGTCTGTTAGGCATGAAAATAATACAGAAATATCGACGAATCGAGAGATTTGTACGTCTCCTATTGGTCACGCTGCCATCTTCATGTCGGTGACGGTTCAAATTAAGGGTAGGATTTGAGATTCTCAAGGCGACGAGTCCGAAGATGTCTGCCTTTTGGGCTGTTGTCCCGTGTAATATGTAAGGAGTTTACCGACGTTTCAGAGGATCTTTCTGCCTCCATCATCAGGGAAACCTAGAAGACAGCCATCTGCAATTTAAATTACCTTAATATTATGGAATCTCTTCTTTAACAAGCTGTGAAATTACAATGTTTCAATTAAAATGATAATCCCGCCACGCAATCATTGGCAGTAACTTTGTCATCGATCTGATGATAAAGTACAACTTTGTAATGGGGTTATTAGTCGGAGAGGGGGAGGGGGAGGGGGGCATTAATACTGCACGAAACAGTGCGACGCCGGAGCGGTACATAAATAGGGAAAGTTCTTAATAAGATTCGAATGAAGGGAAGTTCTGTACGGGACAGAATGAAGGTCTTCACGAATTCTTGGTTTGTTAAGAAGACAGAAGAAACCGTGCACAATTTTGTTTGGGAAACCCCGTTAATTGACGGGAAGTTGTAGACTGGGGTGGGGGTGGGGTGGTGTTTGGGCAGGCGAGGTTCGTACCCCGTACCACAAACGTTAAGGCTAGTTACACACGAGTTCTCCGTGTCTTAAAAATGTCTGTCCGTGAATGAGGCAAGAACAGATCTGAGGCGGTTTTATGGGGACGATTACGACAAAGAAATTAAAATACTGGAGTGCGGAAGTCGTCGTGCCGTGCCGCAGCATTCCTTTGGAGTGACTGGGTGAAACCGCGAAACCGACGTGCGAGTTCGTTTCTGGGCCGAAGAACGAATTCGGGGATGTGCAGAGTACGAACCATGATCGCCGCGCACTTCGAATGAAGTCTGATTCATCGGCGCCCGGTTCATTCATTGAAGACCGAGAGCGTGAGACGGGCGTCGCCTTCGTATTGAAACGCGTCGTTTCTAAACGTGTGACGTTTCCGACGACGACGACGACGCTTGGACTTTGTCAGCCGTCACTCAGAAACTCTGGCTGCTTCATGTCACCCCAGAGACGACGTCGCAATTCTTCTTCTTCTTATGGCGGGGGCGGGAGGGAGGGAGGTGCTTAGTTACGCAAATTTATCCTCGCTCATATTCTCTCTCCCTTCACTTTCGTTTTGATTCCTCTCTCTTGCTTCTGTAATCCTGTTTGCTTATTTACTAACTTTTGTTTCATTTTAATTGTCTCCTTTTATTCGCCTTATATTTTTTTCTAACTTCCATCTTAATTTTCCTTTGTCATTTTGTATTATTACACCAACTCCCACCCGTCATAGTGTTCCTTTCTCTTAAAATGTAGGAAAAATCTAAAAGAACTTCTTACCACCCACGCCTTCGGATTTATAAGCCTCTAGTTTTCCCCACGAGCTTTAATTATTTTGCGTTGACGCCTTCCTTTGGAATCGATACAGAAATTCGATTGCCACAGAATCGATCCCTGTATCGACTTCTGTCTTCGGACTTCGCTGCCTCGTTACATCTGCAACCGTGGGAAAAAAAATTAAGTTCAGATACAGGGTGTCCCACGTAAATCTGTGACGCGGCGCGCCATGTTCTCTCGCGTTGGTTTCGGCCCCTCGCACCAGAACGAACAGTGGCGCGCGCAATTGCGAACACTGGGCACGTCTTGTGCCTTGGGAGGAGGGGGGGGGGACGCTTCTATTACATCAAAACTTTTGGGGTTGTTGAGGAAGAAGAAGAAGAAGAAGACTTCTTCTTTCCCCCTTTCACGTTTTATGCGGGGGAAGGTTATTACTTGAAGGAAATATCACAGCTTCTTGCCGGAGGGAATTTCTCTGCCAATAGAAGCCTCTCGCACTTGGTGATGTCTCTCGCAAATATGAAATCGATCACAGGCCTGAAGCTCGTTGGGCGATTACGGTCGTCACACCGAGGACCGCACGTCGCGGCCGAGTCTTCCCTCGTTTGGGCGAAGTCAGGAGATCGACTGGGCCAATTGCGGTTCGTCGTGTTGTTTGTTCTCACCGCGAAAAATTCTTGGATTTTTTCATAAAATAGGCCACGACCATTCCAATCGTCGATACACAGCTTGTGTAGTTGTAAAGACGTCGTTAAATGCTCCCGGGACGATGACGTCGCACTGTGGAGTCCGGCTACGCGCAGTTAAGCTGATGGTCGCTTGGCAAATTCCTCTCGCCTGTCGAATCGCATTTGTTTCGCGAGTCCAGCGCAGGTGACCGGCGAGATAATTGCCCGAATTTTATTAATTCAGACGGAACACGAAACTTGTCATGTCCGTGCGTTTGTCCCCAGATAATACTTCAGTCCGTTTTATGAATACGTAAAGTGACGAACAAAACACTGTCGTCACATTTCCAGGTGTTGCCGCCGGATTACGTCATTCCATGTCGCCGCTGTTACATTTCATATAAAATTTATGGCTCCAAAGCCTTTTCAGTCCATTATGCGGATTCGCGTTTACAGTTCTGGCTATTAATAATTTTTAACTGGCGCTGCGGCTCTAATACCGTCAATGCGATCAAATCAGTTGTTTCGATTCGATCGTTGCCACAGAGGCGTCGATTACTCTCGATTTAAATGATGTGGCTTTGGTAAGCTGAAAGCTTAACCTAATCCAATCCAGGGGAGAGAGAGAGAGAGAGAGAGAGACACTTCGATATCTGGGGGGGAGAAAGAGCATCTTATAGCTAGAAGGTCCCCAGGCAATGCCCGCTCGTCCTTCTGTTAAGGATAAAGTAAGAGTGAAGGCGTTAGTGTGATGATTGGCATAAAAGACGGAATTTTGAAATTTTGTATTAG